CCCCCCCCCGGCCACTCTACAGTCTGCATTTAAGAGGGGCTGGAAACCCACGCATAGAGGCAGCTCCCCTGGCTCCCCACCCTGCACCCCAGCCCAGTGCCCGATGAATCCTGCCCAGACCTGTCTTCAGGGACCCTCTGCTCTAGAGATCTCTAATGGGCAGGAGGTCTATTAAATGGCACTGCCCCCACCTCCGCAGGGACAGTCAAGAGAGTCCCTCCCGGGCCTCGCCACCTTCATGGCCGCCCTCCCTCTCAGACCCCCCTTTTTGGTCACTGCTCTGGCTATCCCTCCCTGGATACAGTGCCTCTTTGGAGCAGACTATCAACCTGAGCTCCACCTTTAAGGCCCAATCCCCAGGGGTCCCCTCTTACCTTCTAAGAGGACAGGAAGGATCTTCTCTCTGGACTGCATAGGGCTCCCTCTTAGGGGTGTGCCCTCACCAGGGAGAGACAGAGAGAGGGAAAGTGAGAAATCACCCCCCCCGGGGGGAGATGGCTACACCACAGTCCCTCTCCATTCTCCTTCCAGGATCTTGGGCATGCACACACATGTGCCCAGCTTGAGTTTTAAACCACCAGGCCTGGGACTCGAACTGCAGTCAGCCATGTGGGAGTCCAGAGACATAACCGCTACCCCATCTGCTGGCCCCAGGGCTCCCACCCAGTTCTCGCTATTGGATGAGGGAAAGGAGATGCTTCTGAAGACTGGGCACCTAGCAGAGAGGCTTCTCTCTCTTTAATGCTCCTAACTCTTTGTGGGTAGGAACTGGCATCCCCTTTCACCGATGGGGAAGCGGAGGTCTAGAAGGTTAGATGGCCTGGCCAGGGTTACACTTCAGTGAAATGCACGCAAGCATGCCAGGCACAGGGACACTTGAAACTCAAGGTCCGTGCTGTCTCTCCTTCCTGGAGTTTGGTGGTCCGCTCTGTGATCCTCCCGTAAGGGCAGGGGCAGGGTGAACCGGACCCCTCTCTAACCCCTCTTCCACTGGCCCTGCCAGAGCCAGCCGGGACGCAGCGTGGACACACTCGCAGGCCGCTGTGGCCCGGCTCCGACGCGGGGCTGGAGGAGGAGCCCGAGCTCAGCATCACTCTCACCCTGCGGATGCTGATGCATGGGAAGGTAAGAGCAGTGGCTTTGCCGTGGCTTTGCAAGGGGGGGGGGCCAGCCTCGGTCTT